GCTTCCTCACCTCAAGGAGATGTAAGCCAGTCACTCACCTTGATAATCTTTCAATCTTGTGTATATTTATTTTTTTCTACAATTGAGCACATATATGTAATTCTAAAGCAGTAAACAATGCCTGCTTGGTTCCCTAGAAACTTGAAGAAAAATTAAACAGAGGAGAAAGAAGGAAACTCAATTAGTGAATTTAGTAGTTGAAGTCATTCAAACTCCAATTGATTTTCACATTCAATCATGAACATCCAGAGAAGAAACCCTTGTTAATTTTTGCAACACCTGTTTATTTTGTGGCAGTGATTTTGCTTACAATTTTCTTAGTGGTTCAATCCCAGTTGAATGGGCTTCCTTGCCCTTGACGTTCATGTAAGTCATCATTTTTTCCCTTCCTTTCTTTAAGAATATTTTCTTATAGGTGTAAATAAATTTTCTAGTTTCTTAACTGGGTAAATATGGATGCAGCTCTGTTTTTGGAAACCGGTTATCAGGAAATATTCCACGCCATTTGGGAAATATTACCAGTCTTGAATACTTGTAAGTTTCATCTTGTGGTTTAAACAACTCGTCTCTAGCCAATTCATATCAATAATCAATATGTATTTTTATACATACATATGTATATATAGGTCGAAAGTAAGGTTGGAAATTGAACTTGGGTTATATGGCTCTAGTACCAACTTTTGCAGACAAGTGTTAGGAAATAACTTCCCTTTTGTATTTGAATTGATAGTTAGGTTCCTTCCTATCAGCTCATAAATTATCTGCAATGCTATGGACTTTCCTGTTGTTCATCAGATGCCTAGGGACATATTGGTGTCTATTGGTATAATGTTTTCTTTTCCTTATCTTATAACAGGGACCTTGAAGTAAACCAATTTTCTGGAGTGGTCCCGCCGGAACTTGGGAAGTTAGTTAACTTAACAGTTCTGTAAGGCACTTTATTGCTTATGCCTGCTTAGTTTCACACTCAATTTATCCTACCATATTCACGCTCATTGTTTATTTCAGGAGATTGTCTTCCAATAGATTGAGTGGGATTCTGCCAATTGAACTTGGAATGCTGGAAAACCTCGAGGATGTGTAAGCAAGCTTCATGAAGAATAGTTATTTTCACATGTAACAAAATAAATTTAGCTGAAATCTGAGTGGTTCACATTCTCATTGCACAATGACAATGCAGAAGGATAAATGACAATGAGTTCAATGGGAGTATACCAGATTTCATACAGAAGTGGAAGCAACTTACTAGATTGTAAGATCCTCGAACTTCCACTGAATACTTTTTAGTTATTTTCAATTCCAAGATCTTAAAGATTCCTAATCATCTATGTGTTGAAATTATCAACTCAATACAGGGAAGTGGAAGGTAGTGGATTGAAAGGACCCATTCCATCATCCATATCTGTTTTGGATAAATTAATTCGATTGTGAGTTTAAAGCTTCTCAACTTTTTTCTGATGGAGAAACTCAGTGATCAGTGACACGATTTGATTCAATTTATTTACTAACCTTTGTTGATTGGACGTGTAATATGTTTTTTATTGCATTTTATCTACAGGAGGATTAGTGACATAGATTCGGTAAATCAAGCTTTTCCTTCTCTGGAGAACAGTACAGGCTTAACACAGTTGTAAGTTTTTCTGTTTCTTGTGTCATTATTATGACAATTAACATTGAGTTAGTGGATTTTATCATTCTATTTGCTGAAATTTTCATGATTTTTGTTAACACATTTAAGTTTTGGATCTTCAGAACTTTGAAGAACTGTAATATTGTCGGGGAGATCCCTGCATACATCTGGAAAATGAATAGCCTGCGTGCCTTGTGAGTACATGCTACATTAAATGTTTGAGCAGTTGAAATATTATTCAGGAATTACTCTTGTGATTAGTATTACATTCAAGTAATTAGGCCAATAATGATTATTCCTACATGAAGGAAGAAGATGCTCTTAGCTACTATAGCAGCAGGAAACTGATGTTTCAAAATCATTAGGTTTGCTAGATTTGACACTGTTATATTCTCAGAATATAACTTAATAGAAGTTAGTCTATCGGGATAATCCATTAAACTATTCTCCTGTCAAGCTAGAACCATAATGCAGAGTTGATAATCATCTGCAAGTGCCAAACATTAAACATCCCCCTAACTGGTTGACTGGTGTTTTTCTTTCCTTCATTGCAATCATTCAGCACTGACTTGGTCTGGATATCCTTAGGAATCCATTTGATGGAATTCCCCATGCAAAATGGATTGAGAAATCTCGTCCAACGGAAGCAGTTTGTTTCTTTGTACAATTTAGTCAGTTAATATATGAAGTTTAAATCAAATACAGAAGATGCCTAAAAATGAATTGCTTTTTCCTACAGAAGATGAAGAGAAAAAGAAAGACAAATTACAGTTTTGGAATCTATAATTTTGAAGTTTTTGGAGAAAATAAACTTCTAATTTTATTTCTTATTTCTTATATTTACATTTATAAGACATATATAAAGTGGTTATTCTTATTTTAGTTGGTTTTTAATTATAAGATACAATTATACTATTAGAACTTTAACTAATATAGTATTCTACTTAACATGAAATCTTTATCAATACTCCTCTTCAAGTTGGCGCAAATATATCACACATGCCTAACTTACAAATCAGGTTCTGAAGAGATTTGTTGCATAGTTTTTTAGTGAAAATGTCAGTCACCTGGTTGTTAGAATATACATGATGTAAGTATATAGAGCCACCAATCACCTTCTCTTTTGTGAAGTATCGATCAATTTCAATGTGTTTTGTTCTGTCATATTGAATTGGATTATGAGCAATGTTAATTGTTGTTTTATTGTCATAAAACATGGATAGTTTCTTATCTTTAAACAATTTTAACTCTTTCATTAACTTTTGTAATCATAGTAATTCACATATTTTTTGGGCCATTCTCTATATTTTGCCTCAGTACTGGAGCGGACAACCATACTTTCTTTCTTACTTTTCCATGTGACTAAGTTGCCTCCTACAAGTGTGTAGTAACCTGTAGTTGATCTTCTATCATGTAGGGACCCAGTTCAATCAACATCTGTAGATACTTCTATTTTAAGGTGATCATTCTTAGAAAAAAACAAACTTTTTCTTGATATAGATTTCAAGTATCGTAATATGCGGAAAACAGCATGTAAATGAGTCTCACGAGGGTCATGCATGTACTGACTCACAAGACTAACTGCATATGTTATATCAGGTCTGGTATGTGAGAGATAAATGAGTTTTCTAAGTAGTCTATGGTATCTTCCCAAGTCAACTGATGTACCACTACCTGCTTGCAATTTGTGGTTGCTCTCAATAGATGATTCTGCCGGTTTGCAATCCATCATACCAGTCTCTTCTAGTAAGTGTAGGATACACTTCTTTTTAGAAATGAAGATCTCTTTATTGGATCTGACAACTTAAATCCTTAAGAAGTATTTCAATTTTCGTAAATCTTTTATTTCAAACTCTTGAGTAAGAAGTTCCTTCAACCGAACCATCTCTTTTGTATCATCTCCAGTCACTATAATACCATCCACATAAATAATGAAAAGAGTGACCTTATCTTCACGATGTTTGATAAATAAGGTATGATCCGCATTATTTTATTGATATCCAAAAAAGATCACAACTCTTTTAAACCGTTCAAACCATACTCTTGGAGACTGCTTCAATTCGTATAAAACTTTTTTTAATTGACAAACTTTTCCTTGCGTTCTCTCATTTTTAAATTCAGGCGGAATTTTCATGTACACCTCTTTCTCTAAGTCTCCATAGAAGAATGTATTTTTTACATCAAATTGCTGTAGATCCCAATCAAGATTAGCTGCGCAAGACAAAAGCATCTTCATTATATTCATCTTCCCAACAGGTGCAAATGTATTCTGATAGTCAATCCCATAGGTATAAGTAAATTCTTTAGTTACGAATCTAAATTTGTACCTTTCGATCGATCTGTTTGCTTTGTGTATTACGGTGAACACCCGTTTGCAACCAATTATCTTATTTCTTTGTGGAGGTGAAATAAGTTCTCATGTTTCATTTTTTGTCAATGCTCTCATTTTTTTTAATCATGGTTTTCTTCCACTTGGGATATTCTAGAGCTTTTCTCTAATCCTGTAAAATAAATACAGAGAAAACAGATAAGACAAAATCTCTATAGGAAGGAGATAGAGAGTCATAGGAAATAAAGTTAGATATAGGGTGGTTAGTGCAAGTTCTCGTTCCCTTTCTAACCGCAATAGGTTTGTCTGATAAATCACAAGAAAAAGATAACTCACTAGTATTTTCTGGAACCAGAAAATATTTTTGACCTGGGACAGACTGCATGATGACTTTTTCAGACTTCTCTCTCATTGAATACATTTTCAAGTCTGGTTTATTTAGATATCCAATATTATCTTCTTGATTAAGACTTTCTACAATAGAATTTTCCCCTAGAGATATATATAAACCCAATGAGGTTTTTTTAGTAACTTTTTGGTAGATTCATGGTGAACATTAGTGACCGAGGTACCTCCAATATGTGTTCTGTTTTTTAATTTCAGAAACCTCATTTTTGTTCACTGG